CCGTGCACCAGCTTAGATGTCAGGGGGTGGACCAGGAGCCTGGGCTGGAGGGAGGGCTGAATGGGCTGGGGGGAGAACTGAGCTCTCAACTTCCCTTCTCCCGGCCCTGACCCCTCTGCTTAACATAGGAGCAGAGACTGGTCTGCCCTAATGGTGGGCCATTTGTGCCAAAAATAAATAAATAAATAAATAATGCCAGTACCTAAACCACCTCTATGTTCCCTTCTGGGGGCAGGGTAGGGACCGGAAGTAGGAGGAAGGGGCTGGATGTATGGATAGGGGTGTGTGAGGGATGGATGGGTTCCCGAGCCCCTTTAGAAACTGGGGCTAACTAAGACATCCTTCTGGAAGACCAAGAGGGTCTCCAAGCCCTTCACCCTGGGGAGCTCCGGCCAGGAACTAGTCAAGTCATGGGGGTGACCTCTTGACCTGACTAGTTTTTCCTCTCCAGCCCATTCCCAGGGTGCCTCTCTCTCCCTCTCACCCAGGGTAGGGAGAACTGAGTGAAAGAGACTAATGAGCAAGATTGAGACACGCGGGCCCCCACTGGTCTTTGAGTGGGAAAGGCAAGTGCGAGAGATAAAGGCCTCCAAGAGAAAAAAAAAAAAAAAGAAACAAACCAAAGATTTAACCATTAAAAAAAAAAACAAAAAAAAAAACAAAAAAAAAAAAACACAGACAACTCCGCTACCTTTTTATACGTTGGGAAAAAAAGTGAAAAAAATTAGAATAAAAACTAAAAAAACAAAAAAAAAACAAAAAAAACAAAACAACAACAAAAAAACAATAAAAACAATAAAAAAGAACCAAAAAACAAAAAACCCACAAAAACTTTCAAGCCGCAGTTCTTTTGTGCGGTTTAAACTTTGACCTCAGCAGTCTCCAAAGCAAGACGACGATGACAAAGGCGGGGGAAAAAAAATGTATATTTTTAAGTATTTGTCCTTGGTGTTGGCTCCTTCCTAAACAAACAAAAGGAGCAAAGAAAAAAAAAATCCAGAAGTGTTGCTGGGATGGAGACAAATATTTACCCCCATTCCTCTGCCCCCACTTTCCTGTAGCCCTGCTGCCCTTCCCCCAACCTGCCCTCCAAGCCCAGGGGCTCAATATTTATTTATTTATTTATGTTCTTGCAGGGTGATGGGGCTTCATGGCTGGGTGGAGCAGGAGGGCAGGCATCTTTGGGGCTGTAGTAGAGGCCTGGGGTTTTGGCCCCCTCCTCTGGCTGCTGCCAGTGTC